ACAGAGATGATCCACTTCCCGATGAAAAAAGCGGCACACGTGGGTGCCGGACCAGCCCATCCTCGCCTCTGCACTACCTCCCAGTCTCAGTGTGCTTTCTTCTTTACTTGTCTAGTTGTAGGACTTGTATGCTGCCAGTGTTCAGTGGTTCTGGATGGTGGTGGTTTTGTATTTTAGTTGTAATTTTGATGTGGTTGTGGGAGGAGGCAAGTACAGGCATTTACCTATGCCACCATCTTCCTTTCTCTGCATATAAATTCTTTGGTTAATCTCTTCCTACCCATCCATGCCTTCCCTCTGAGATTCGACAGTCTGTTCCATACCTCTATGTCCCTGGAACTATTTTTTTAATCAGTTTATTTTGTAAAATAGGGTCCACATATGAGAGAGATCATGTGATACTTATCTTTTTCTGACTTGCTTATTTTGCTTATCATAATACTCTCCAGGTCTCTCCATGCTGTCTCAAAGGGTAAGAAATCCTTTTCTTTTACTGCTGCCCAGTGTTCTATGGTATAAATGTACCACGGCTTTTTTATCCACTCATCTGCTGATGGGCACTTGGATTCTTTCCAGATCTTAGCTATTGTAATTTGCACTGCTGTGAACATAGAGGTGCAAATATTCTTTCTGATTGGTGTTTTGGATTTCTTAGGATATAATCCCAGAAGTGGGATCTTAGTTGGTAGTTTTTAATATGTCCCAGGGTATGTAAAGAACCTTCAATAATTTATAGACCTGTTTAGTAAATTTGTTTTATTGTCTATTGAGTGGTTAATTTAGGAAATGTAATTGTCTCAAAGTTAACTTGAAATATAACTTTGGAAATGTATAGCCATTAACATGGTCTTTCAGATATATGTGGAGAGATGTTAATTGTAATTTTTATGAGAGGTGTGTGACAAGAAAATATGTTAGGGAATCCCATTGTGTTTGCACATGTACACAAAGTATCTGTGTGTAGGATTTAAACCAAGGTATTAATTTTGATTCTTTCTTAGAGGATGGGATGAAATATGGCTCATATTCTTTTTCCTTGTTGTTGTATTATTGTTAGAAAGAGCAAATATCGGAATTTTCAGAGTTTTGAGGTGCTAAATTTTAGTATATATATATTTACCATAATTTAAAGAAATCCTGATATCTATAAAATTATACTACATAATACATTTTTTTAAAAAGAATTCAATTTTTTTACTGAGGAAAAATAAGGCAAGGAAATAATACCTTGTAAAATTCTCTTATGTTGCAAGTTCATATTTTTCATGCAATTTTTTTCTTATTTTCTCTGTAGTTGTTTGGTTTCCTTTTAGCATGTAAAACTCCATAAAGTCAGGAAAACTAAAATTTGAGCACACATTTTTTATGTACTTGGTCTGTGGTGGGTGTTTTTGGTGTCATGGGGGTGGGGGTGGTCTTTCTGACGTGAATTTAGGTGGGATTTTTCAGAACATTTATGGCAGGGCTTTCTCATGTTTGGTGACATGGTTTATTTTACAGATCTCCTGTGACTTACTGTGTTATCTGTAATTCTTTTTTCATTCCAATTATTTTTAAATTTTGAGACTCACCCAGGTGGCATGCTGTGGGTTGTGTGGTGTTGTTAGCACTTTGACACTGAATGTACTTGAGGCAGATAAACACTCTGTGTAGAATCACCACTTGTTTGAGCTGGGAAGGCCTTTAGTGCTGAAGTGGTTCAGCCCCTTCTTTTCTCATGAGAACGTTGCTTAGTGGCGTTGGACTGAATGCCCCGAAGTTTTCCTGGCTGTTCTAGGGTAGCTCTAAAGCATCTAGGGTAGCTCTAAAGCAAGAGCTGTACTCCTCAAGCCACACTCCCCGCTGCCCTGTCCTAACCTTCTCTGCTGTCCCCAGTCTCATGCCTGACTCCTGCACTCCTAGATGTTTGTGCTGTAATATGTGATTCCAAAGTGTGTCCTCTTACAGAAATGCAGTGTACACAGAGCTAATTTAAAGGAGCCACAGAGTTTTTAGTTTGTAATGAAGTTGATATTATACAGGAGGGCTTCTTACCTTTAAGATATATTTTTAGATGTAAGTTATATTTTAGAAATTAGTTAACATTAAATACCATTCTTATGTGTTATTTCAAGAATGGTTACTTAGCCTGGCTGTGTGGCTCAGTGGTAGAGCATCGACCTATGAACCAGGAGGTCAGGGTTCGATTCCAGATCAGGGTACAAGTCTGGGTTGCCGGCTGGATCCCCTCTAGGGGGCATGCCAAAGGCAGCCGATCAGTGATTCTCTCATCATTGATGTTTCTAGCCTATCCCTCTCCCTTCCTCTCGGAAATTGATTAAAAACTATATTTTTTAAATTGTGACAAGCCGAAACCGGTTTGGCTCAGTCAGTGGATAGAGTGTTGGCCTGCAGACTGAAAGGTCCCAGGTTTGATTCCGGTCAAGGGCATGTACCTTAGTTGCGGGCACATCCCCAATAGGGGGTGTGCAGGAGGCAGCTGATCGATGTCTCTCTCTCATCGATGTTTCTAACTCTATTCCTCTCTCTCTTCCTATCTATAAAAAAATCAATAAAATATATTTTTTAAAAATAAATAAAAATAAATGGTGACTTAAAATTAGTTACTAAATATTTAAAGTTTTTAAAATGTATATTAGTAGTAATAATCTGTATCTTCTATATATATAATAGCCTAATATGCAAATTGTCCCCTCTGGAGTTCGACTGGGAGCTTGATTGCTCGCTATGACATGCGCTGACCTCCAGGGGGCAGCATAGAACAAAGGAAGGCCCCAGGCAGCAGCCAGAGCGGCCCCAGTAAGTAGCTGGAAGACCCCAATCAGCCCTGATCACTGGCCAGGCCTAAGGACCCTACTCATACACTAATTTTGTGTACCAGGCCTCTAGTCTATGTATCGGGTCTAGTAATACTTAATGTCATTTTTTAACATTCGTTTAAAATCTTGCTTGGCGTTGACTTGTATTGACATAACCTTCAAACATGTGGTATCTACAGAACGTGTGAAGTGCAATTAACAAGTTTTGCTTGAAAAAGTTTGTGTTTGGTTTGGTTTTTGTTGCAAAACTAGGGCTAAGAAGATGGCGGATGAAGAGCATATTCGGCACTGCATGCTTTACGAGTTCCAATTAGGAAGAAAAGCAAGTGAGGCTGCAAAAAACATCTGTAGTGCTCTTGGTCAAGATGCAGTTAGCGCCAGAAAATGCCAGCGTTGGTTTGAGAAATTTCGCGAGGGAAATTTTTCGTTAGATGACAAGAGTGGTCGAGGCCGTGTGTCCAATTTTGATCAAGAAGCTCTTCAAGCTCTTTTGGTGCAAAATCCTCAAATTACCAAACAAGAGCTTGCGACAACTTTAAATTGTTCACAAAAAACAATTTCCAATCAATTGCGTGCACTTGGCAAAGTCCAAAAGTTTGGAAAATGGGTTCCTCATGAGTTGACCGACAACAACCATAATCAAAGAGTCACAATTTGCAGTTCGCTCCTCTCTCGTCAAAACCGTTTGCTGTTTTTAGAGCAAATTGTTACCGGAGATGAAGAGTGGGTGCTGTATGTTAATTTGAAAAGGCGGCCTCAATGGTTGGACAAAAAGGAGGCTCCGCAGCCCACGCCAAAACCTGACTTGCATGCGAAAAAAGTGATGTTGTGTGTTTGGTGGAATTTTAAAGGAATTCTTCATTATGAACTTTACCATCTAACCAAACCATTACAAGTGCAGTGTATAGTGCCCAATTGGAAAGGTTAGCCCAAGCTTTAAGAGAAAAAGAACCCGCGCTGATTAATCGGAAGGGCGTAATTCTTCACCACAATTACGCATGACCGCATACTGCAAGAATCACTGCTGAAAAACTGCGCCAGTTGGAATGGGAAGTTCTCCCTCAACCTGCATATTCTCCTGATATTGCCCCTTCCGATTACCATTTGTTTCGTTCTTTTTTTTTTTTTTAATATATTTTTTATTGATTTTGTACAGAGAGGAAAGGAGAGAGATAGTTAGAAACATCGATGAGAGAGAGTCATCGATCAGCTGCCTCTTGCACACCCCCCACTGGGGATATGCCCGCAACCAAGGCACATGCCCTTGACCGGAATCGAACCCGGGACCCTTCAGTCCCCAAGCCGACGCTCTATCCCTTGAGCCAAACCGGTCTCGGCTTGTTTCGTTCTTTGCAAAACTTTCTTCTTGGAAAAAAATTTAATAATGAACAATGCCTCAAAAATGCATTGACCGAATTTTTTGCATCAAAATCACAAGAATTTTACAACAGAGGGATTAAAATGCTTCCTGAGCGTTGGGCACAAGTAGTAGAAAACAACGGCAACTATATTGTTGATTAAATTTTGTTGTATTGTTTAAATAAATTCGATTTAAAAAAGTATTAGAAAACGACATTAATTATTACTAGACCTAATATAAAAGACTAAGCAACTGTTAATGACCAGTTGACCAGTTGCTATAACATGCACTGACTATCAGAGGACAGTGCAGGAGCTGCTACCTGGTGGTCAATGCACTCCCACAGCCAATCTCTTGCAGCTGACCAACCTCCTGTGGTCCCTCCTCTCAGCCGGTCAACCTCCCATGATCCCTCCCCCTCATCAGTTGGCCAACCTCCTGCAGTCCTTCTCCCTGGCCGGCCCTAATTGGCCCTGATCAGGACTGGGCAAGACAGCCCCAATTGCCGATCTCAGGCCAGGCTGAGGGACCCCACCTGTGCATGAATTCATGCACTAGGCCTCTAGTATAGTGCATACTATTCTAGTATATTAACATCCTGCAACATCTCCTCAGAGGAAGCAAACTCAGCTGTCTTCTGGTGGGATCTCTGGACACAGCTCAGGGTCTTTGCTCAGGAGCAGAGGGCAGGGTGCCTTGCAGCCTGGTGTGAGGCACATTCATTTGAGGGATTAATATAGACAGTATCCTCAGCTCACAGCTTTTTGGAAGAAATATATTGAGCAAGTATTTACTGACTTATTTCTCCCATTCCGTTTTAGGCTTCTCTACAGCTTGGCCTTTAACGCCAGGTTTCTGAGGCACCTTTGGGTTCTCATATCCTCAATGACAACACAGATGATCACAGGGTATGTATCCCAGACTTAGAAATTGAGCTTAAGGATGTGGGAAGTGGCAAATAATAAATACTGTATAGTATTTTAGGTACTGCTTATATCTAGCTTATTTCGTATTAGAAGGTAACTTCTAGATGGTCTCAATTTCACAAAAAGAAAGTAATGCCAATTTTACAGTTGTTCATCTGTATTATTAAGAGTATGGCTTTATCTGAGAGTAAATTTCTCTTAAAAATCTTAGTCATTTTTGGAAGTCAGAAACTTGACATTTCTTTGTTCCATATGACTTGCCTGTGCTTTTGAGATTGAAAATATAGATTTGAAGCAAATTTTTAAAACATTTTTATTGATTTCAGAGAGGAAAGGAAAGGGAGAGAGAGATAGAAATGTCAGTGATGAGAGAGAACCATCGATTTGGCTACCTCCTGCCTGCTCCCCACTAAGGATTGAGTGTATATCCCTGGGCATGTGCCCTAACCGGGAATTAAACTGTGACCTCCTGATTCATAGTTAGATGCTTAACCACTGGGCTACACTGCCAAGCTGAAGCAAATTTAGTACCATTACAAAATATTAAAAGATACCAAATACGGTAGAAGTTAGTTTTTAAAACTTTATGTTGAAATAATTTATTTTTTTCTTACCTGAATCATTATGTCACTTGAAGGTAAGAATCTTTACATACTGAAACTGAATGAGTAACAGGTAGAGAATTGAATATTTATGCAAACTGCCTTAGGCTGTTCCCATAAGGAATGTCTCCTCTGTCAGAGGTCTAAGTTGGCCCCTCCACACTGTCACACAGAAAGGTGCCATGTATGACTCAGTTTACTGAGGACAGAACTTGGGATGCACCTGCACGTGAGGCTCACGCCAGCCCACAAGGAAAGGAAGGCCTAGGTTTAGGCAAGGCTACAAAAAAGAGTGTTTCTTTAGTTGTGTTTTCTTTGGTTGTTGGGCTTTGGAGGAGGGGGAGAAGAAGCTGAAGGAAGGAATGTTTGGAGGTGAGGGTGGAGTGTCTGGCATTTGAGCATCCCGTCTTCTGCAGTGTGGTTGGGTGTGATGTATTAGATGAGCGAGGTGTCTTGTGTTGAGGGTTCTGACCTCAAGCTTTTCAGTGTGGTTTGCAGAAAAAGGAAGTTCCTGTTTCAGTGCCTCAGTGTCAGGGACAGTCGGCCCTGAGCGAGAGGAGCCACGTGTCCAATCATCTGTATAAAGCTGGCCACCTCTCAGCTAGTGTGGCTTTGTGGACATAGATGTTCACGGCGCCTACAGCCTCCATTGCCCAGGATTGACTGGACATTCTGTAGGGGACCATGGGACTTCATTCAACCATGAGAGAAAGGGAACAGATTGGAGGGAGTGAAGTATGTGTAATACATTACAGCCCTTAACAGGGGAGATTCCAAACTGCTCTCAGGACCCCTCACCTTAGACTGCTCTGTGTGGTCAGTGACTGCTCGTAAGAGCAGGAGCAGTAACAGCTGGGAGATGAACTCGAACTTGGATGATAGAAATAGGGCCCAGGGTAGAGAAGGGGAGACCTCCCTACAGCTTCTGACAAGGTTCAGGATTCACCTCTGTTCCTGAACGTCAAGTAGCTCCATAGTTTTTCATAGTCTGCTTTGTTGAATATGTTAAATAGATGGGGGGGAGGCACTTCAATATAACAGTAAACGTGGGTCTGTAACGGTGGCCTTGCGTACTGCCGCTCTCCTCCGAGGGCCGTCCTTGGGCCTGGCTCACTCTCAGTGACTCGGGCCATGAGTTCAGAGTGGCCGGTCAGTTCCTGCGTTTTAGTCTGTTACTCGCCTACATTATTAGAATGACTTCACCTTCCCTTGAGATAGATGCGTGGCCCCCGTGAATGAGAATTCCCTGATTGTGTTGTCTGGTGTCATGTCTTCTCTCTCCCCACTCAGGTCGATGGTGCCGCTGCTTCAGGTGATTTCAAGGGGCTCTCCCATGTCCTTTGAAGATTCCAGCCGCATCATCCCACTCTTCTACCTGTTCAGCTCCTTGTTTAGTCACTCTCTGATCTCCATACATGATAATGAGTTCTTCGGGGACCCCATAGAAGGTGAGACTTGCGGAGTCCAATTGTTGCTGGCCCCCTGGCTCCTCCTCTCATGCCCACGGAGGACGGGACATCTTCACCTTCTAAGGCTGTCGGTGTGGAGAGAACTTTTCTAAAGTTGTGATGGGAGCTGGCGTGTTTTCCAGCCGCAGGTCAGAGACAATCATCCCTGATGCCCTTCACTCTGGAAGAGTTGGTGGTGCTGTCCCGCTGCCTCCGCGACGCCTGCCTCGGGATCATCAAGCTAGCTTACCCGGAGACCAAGCCCGAGGTCCGGGAAGAGTACATCACCGCGTTCCAGAGCATCGGGGTGACCACGAGCGCCGAGATGCAGCAGTGCATCCAGACAGAGCAGAAGCGGTGGATCCAGCTGTTCAAGGTCAGAGGCAGCACAGGTGTGCTCTCCTTCCTGCGCGTCAGTAGGCGGGATTCGCAGTCCCAAGCTTGTAAATTAAGTCATTTTGTTTGCCTGTGTTTTTTTTGTGTGTGTGTGTTTTTTTTTTGTTTTTTTTTTTGTGTGTGTGTGTGTGTGTGTGTTTGGGGGGGGGGGTGTTTGTTTTGCTATTTTAGATGTTGTATATTTAGTTCTTATTTTATTTTTTGCTAATCCTCACCCAAGGATATTTTTCCATTGATTTTTAAAGAGAGTGGAAGGGAAGGGGAGAGAGAGAAACGTTGATATGAGACACATTGATTGGTAGGCTCCTGCACTCATCTTGACCTAGGCCAGGATTGCGCCTGCAGCTAAGTGTGTGCTCTTGACTGGAATTGAACCGCAACTCTTTAGTCTGGAGGCCGAAGTGCTTTTTTTTTTTAAGTTAAATTTGTTGGGGTGATATTGGTTAATAGGATAATATAGGTTTCAAGTATACATTTTTAAAAAATACATATATTTTATTGATTTTGTACAGAGAGGAAGGGAGAGAGATAGAGAGTTAGAAACATCGATGAGAGAGAGTCATCAATCAGCTGCCTCCTGCACACCCCCCACTGGGGATATGCCCGCAACCAAGGTACATGCCCTCTACCGGAATCGAACCCGGGACCCTTCAGCCGACGCTCCATCCATTGAGCCAAACCGGTTTCGGTTCAAGTATACATTTCATTTTGTTTGTTCATCCTCACCTGAGGATATTTTTCCATTGATTTTTAAAGATTTATCTGTTTTTTATTAAATTTATTGGGTTGGCATTGGTCAACGTGAACGTAAGTTTCTGGTGGTTTTAAAGAAATTAAAAAATTAATTTTTAAAAATTTATTGATTAAGGTATCACATATTTGTCCTCAACCCCCCAATTGGGGTTTTCTTTTAAATATATATATATATATATATATATATATATATATATATATATATTTTTTTTTTTTTTTTTTTTTTTTTTTTTTTACGAGACCGGATTGGCTCAATCGATAGAGCATCGGCTTGGGGACTGAGGGTCCCAGGTTCTGTTACGGTCAAGGGCATGTGCCTTGGTTGCGGGCATATCCCCATTAGGGGATGTGCAAGAGGCAGCTGATCGATGACTCTCTCTCATCGATGTTTCTAACGCTCTATCTCTCTCCTTTCCTCTCTGTACAAAATCAATAAAATATATTTTAAAAATAAATAAATAAAATGTTTAAAATATATATATATTTTTTATTGATTTTAGAGAGGAAGGGAGAGGGAGAGAAAGACATCAATGATCAGGATCATTGATCTCTTGCTTTTTTTTTTTTTTAACAGTATGTGGTTCTATCCACTGAGCCAAACCAGTTAGGGCTATTTTATCAATTTTTTGTGTAGTCTTTTTGTTCTCTATTCTGTTCAGTTCTGCTCTAATTTTTATTATTTCCTTCTGCTGACTTTGGGTTGCTTTTATTCTTCTTTTTCTAGTTTTTTAAGATGTGATGTTAGGTTATTTACTTGGGATTTCTCTTGTTTCTTGACATAGGCCTGTAATGACCTTCTTATTACTGTTTTCACTGCATCCCAGAAGTTCTGACATGTCATATTGTCATTCTCATTTATATGTCTTTTGAGCTTATCTTTTATTTATTCTTTAACTCAGTCATTTTTTAGTAGTATGTTACTTAATCTCCACGTATGTGTGGGTTTCTTTACTTCCTTTTGGCAGTTGATTTCTACTTTCAAGGCATTGTAGTCAGAGGATATGCTTGGTATAATTTCAGTCTTCTTGAATTTGTTGATGCTAGTTTTGTGACCCAACATATGTTCTATCCTTAAGAATGTTCCATGTGCACTGGTGAGGATGTATGATCTGATGTTCTGGAATGAAAGGTTCTGAAAATGACAATTATGTTCATTTGGTCTAGTGTTTCATTTAAGGCCGATATTTCTTTATTGACTTTCTGTTTGGTTGATCTGTCTAGAGCTGTCAATGGAGTATTAATGTCTCCAACTATGATTGTGTTTTGATCTGTTTCCCCCGTTAGCTCTGTGAGTAGTTGTTTTATATATGTTGGTGCTCCCTGGTTGGCTGCATATATATTGAGAAGTGTTATGTTTTCTTGATGTAGTTCCCTTTATCATTATTAACTATCCATCTTTGTCTCTTATCTTTGTTATCTTGAAATCCATTTTGTCAGATACAAATGTACTCTTCTGTGGATGTTATTTGCTTGGAGAATCATTTTCCACCCTTTTACTTTGAATCTGCCTTTTTCTTTGCAGCTTAGATGTGTCTCTTATAGGCAGCATATGGTTGGGTTCTGTTTTTTGTTGTTGTTGTTGTTCGTTTTTTGCCACTATTGGTTCTAAGCAGAGAAGTGAATGCTCTATTTATGACCTTAAAACAGTTCTTAAAAAAAAAAAAAAAAAAAGGTGGGGGTGGCGGGGAGCAAGTCTAGAAACAGATACCAATTGGGAGGCTCTTTCCATAGTCTAAAGAAGAGAATGACTAGGGTGGGGCAGTGAAGGGGTGATAAGTGGACAGATACAGAGTCTGCTGAGACGATAAGGCAAGAAGACTTGCTGAGAGGCTGGAAGTGGAGAGGTGCTAGGAAGGGGGAATCTCTAAGATAACCTTTAGGTTTGGGTCTTGAGCAGCTGGGGGTCTAGCGGTAGCATACACTGAGGAGGAGACAGGAGGGAACAGGTTGGTGTGGAAAGATAAAAGGTTCTTCGTTTGGACTTGTCCAACTTGAGGTGTCTATGCTGCACCCACTTGGAGAAGTCTGGTTACTGTTGGGTGGCTGTGTCTGCAAGTCCAGGGTGAGAGGGAGGTCTGGGCTGGAGATAAGAATTGGGAGTGCTGAGCATGTTGTGTTAAAGCCATGGGAAGTGGTGAGGTCACTCTGGGGGAGGGTGTATATGGCAGAAACAGAGAGTCCAGGATGGAGGCCAAGGACATGACATTTGCCAATGGGTGGGATGGAGAGGAGGCAGCCTTTCACAGAAGACTGAGTGTGAGCTGCCAGGTGGGGAATTGTTTGGGGAGAAGTAGGCATAGAAGCCAGGAGAGAGATTTAGAAAGATACTGGGATTGATCATGTTAGGCAGCCCTAGGCCAGACTCTTCCCCAGTACACAGCTCTGCTCCTCAGTGTCTGCTTTGCACTGTACTGGTCTCCGTTCTGTGCCAGTCTGCTCCCTTCCAGTGAGACATCTTCAGTCTTCAGTCTTTGATGGAAAAGAGACGTCCGCTCCCTCTGCGCCTCTGAATTGGTGAATTCAGACCACTTACATATAGGGTAATTGATGTTTGAGGATTTCCTATAACCATTTTATCTTTGTTCTCTGGTGGCTCTGTGCCTCCATTGGTTCTTTTCCTTTGTTTCTGTCTGTTGTTTTTGTTTGGTGGTATTCCACACTTCTTCCCTTCTTTTTTTAAGCTGTATGCCCTGGTTTGGGGATTTTTGTGTGTGTTATCATTAGGTTTATGAAAAATAAAGTTGCATACATACCCTAGTTGTTTTCTTTCTTTTTATAATAGATTTTATTGATTTTCTACAGAGAGGAAGAGAGAGGGATAGAGAGTTAGAAACATCAATGAGAGAGAATCATCGATCAGCTGCCTCTTGCACACCCCCTTCTGGGGAGTGCCCTCAACCAAGGTACATGCCCTTGACCAGAATCGAACCTAGTTGTTTTCTTTTGAGTGCATCTGGTCTTCATTCTCCTTTGCCAGATCAGACCTTTCACACACACACACACACACACACACACACACACACACCCCTTATGTTTTTGTTGTCACAGATTATCCCTGTTGATGCTGTAAGTTTTTTGGTGATCTTACCCAAAGTGTTGTGACCTTATGTTCTCTGTTTCAGGTAAAATAACTCCCTTGAGTATTTCCTGAAATGGAAGTTTTAAACTGTTTCTCCTGGCCAAAGAAAGCGCCTGCTACCACGCTTTCTCCTCTCTCCCGGCGGAGCTGCGAGCTCCTGGCTGCAGGGTTGCATCTGTGGGCCGTCTGCGTTTCCTCCCTTCTCGTCTCCCCATTTATTCCTGGTTGCCCACCTTTAGATGTTTCAGTGCCAGGCTCTCTCAGGTGTTGAGCAGGGATTTCCTAGTTGAATTAGAGTTGGTTAAGCTGATGAAATTTCAAGAGCAAAGGACAAGGTGTGCTGTCACAGTGCCATTCCTCTGATGTCACTCCTCCATTGACTCCTAGCGCAAGAAGAGAGGGAGAGAGAAATATTTTTTTTATTTTTTTTTTTAATATATTTTATTGATTTTGTACAGAGAGGAAGGGAGAGAGATAGAGAGCTAGAAACATCGATGAGAGAGAGTCATCGATCAGCTGCCTCTTGCACACCCCCTACTGGGGATATGCCCGCAGCCAAGGTACATGCCCTTGACCAGAATCGAACCCGGGTCCCTCAGTCCCCAAGCCGACGCTCTATCCACTGAGCCAAACCGGTCTCGGCGGAGAGAGAAATATTGACGAGAGAGAGAGACATTGATTGGTTGCCTCGGCAAGGGACCTGACTGGGGCCAGGGATTGAACCTGCAATCCAGGTATGTGCCCTTGACTAGGAATTGAACCCTCAACGCTTCAGTGCACGGGCCAGCACTAACCACTGGGAACACCAGGCAGGGCTCAGTGTACATTTGTGACACATGACCTGCACATTGCACTGTGTGCTCACCACCCACTCAGAGCATCTTCCATCGCCATGTATTTGGCTTTCTCTGCCCTTTCTACCCCCGTCCTTGACATTTGCCTTCTTTTAAAACCTCGTTTTTACATTGTTAAATGCATCTGTTAAAAATTGCACTAAGTATTTTTGGTGACAAGATAAAATACAAATAAAATTTGTTATATTTTTATTTTTCACTAAAAGATCTCTTACAGATTTTTATTTTCTTAATCTTTTAAGAAATAACCTTAGTGAAATAAGGTCATAAATTTAATGGAAGTTGAATATAAAT